CCCTGCAATAGAAATTATACAAGGTGTGTCTAAAAGGTTTGGTTAATGGTATCAGAAAACAAACAAAACAGGAGATACAAAACATTTACCTTTATTGGCCTTCAAAACAACACACTTTTGGCAATGTTCATAAAGCTTCTGGAAACTGTCAGCAAAGGCCTCTTTAGGAATTGATCGTAGAAATGCTGTCACACAGTCTTGGATTGCCGCCACCCTTGCCTTTCATGACGCTCTTTAGGCGAAGAAACAGAAAGAAGGTGCCAGATCATGGGAGTACAGTGGGTGATTGAGAACAGGTACGCCGCACTGAGCCAAGAATTGGCACACACGGATCGCACAGTGTGCAGGAGCATTGTTGTGTAGCATCCTCCACTGTCCAGTCCTGTGCAACTCTGGCTGAACACGTTGGATGCGTTGTAGTAACTATCCCAAAACTTCCTCGTAGAATGCGGCGTTCAAGGTTTCACCCGCAGGAACAAACTCCTTATGGATCATGCCATCATAGTCAAAGGAGGTAATCAACATTATGTGGACCTTGGACATTTGCAGGCGACTCTTTTTGGGTTGCGGGTTGAACGCCATTCCATTGATTACCGTTTGAATTCCGGATCGAACTGGTAGCACCAGGTCTCATCCCCTGTGATGATTATTTGCAGAAAGGATGGATCCTGGTCACATATGGTAATAAAATCTCCACAGGTTTCCATCCGTTTTGCTTTCTGTTTGTCTGTAAGCTTGTGTGGCACAAACCAGGAGCAGATCTTCCACTTAACCAAATCTTCGGACAATGAATGCCATTCCATTGATTACCGTTTGAATTCCGGATCGAACTGGTAGCACCAGGTCTCATCCATTGTGATGATGGTTTGCAGAAAGGATGGATCCTGGTCACATATGGTAATAAAATCTCCACAGGTTTCCATCTGTTTTGCTTTCTGTTTGTCTGTAAGCTTGTGTGACACAAACCAGGAACAGATCTTCTGCTTAACCAAATCTTCGCGGACAATGGTGCGCACTGTGTCATTGCTAATGCCTAATTTCTCTGCCATCATTCGTACAGTAAGTCACTGATTTCATGTCAGCTTTTGTCGCACTCGCTCGGTCATGTCTGGAGTTCTTCTTGTCGACAGCTGACCCGAATGCTGCTCATCCTCAATTGTTTCTTTCCCATTGCAAAAGCGTTTGAACCAGTTGTAAACACATTTTCTGCTCATGGCTTCCATTCTGTACGCTTGCACCAACATTTCATGCATCTCCGTCGCCATTTTCCCCAGTTTGTAGCAGAACTTGATGTTCACTCGTTGCTCCATTGCACTGTGACCCTGCCTCTCACAATGACAGTCACGTGCACTCCACGCTAGGTGGTGCTTCTCGACGTCTCTCTGGATAGCCATGTGAACCTTTTGCACACACCACATATTTTGGTGGTTAATTACTTCCAAAGAGATGCAGACACTGCAAATTTCCTCATAAGAACACTACAAGTGTTTCAGCAACCCTCTTTTTGTTTTCTTTTGTATCCAGAGGACAGTGTTTGTAAGGTGATTTACCTATTACATCTACTACAACATCACAAGATCCCAGGCTTCCTCCTTTCACTTGACATCTATAAAGCCTTTGACTCCCTATCTTGGGATTACTTGCACTACTTCCTGGAGCACTGGTGCTTCGGCGATTAGATCCTCTAATGGATCTCAGCCCTTTACTCTTCCCCCTCCGCCAGTGTTACATAAGCCGGTCACCCTCTCCATGTACTGAGGGACCAGACAGGAGTGCCCTTATTCACAATTTTATTTATATTGGCACTAGAATCTTTGGCCATGGCACTCAGGGATGACCCTGTTACCAATATTCAATACAAGGGTGTACACTACAAAGTCAACCTCTTTGTGGACGACGCCCTCCTGACCAACCACCTGACTACTTTGGCCAACCTTCAGAGTCTCCTTTCTCGCGACTCTCTCATGTCAACATACCTTTATTATCAGAGGTGGGGTTCAGGCCAGGGGAATGTGTTTAGCTAAGATGGTGAAGTTTTGACCTATACAGGTGTGTGCGTACCCTAATCCCCCTCTGAGCATGAAGGAGATAAGAGGAGGAGCCCCTGGCCAGCTTTGTGGGAGCTAGAAGCAAATCAGGGAAGCTTATGCTCCTCCTAAGAATTCTTGTTCTCTAGCTCTCGTCTGCTCTTCTAATGCTCACATCCAGGCCTTTTTCATAGCCTTCCCCATTCACTGTGTAGCACCCTCCTAGTTTAGCTAGGGGGAGCTAGACTCCAACGGTTAGACAAGGGCTGAGCAGCAGCCTAGGTGTATTAGCCAGAGAGGGATCACATTGTGGTAAGTGCTGAGAGGCTCTGTAGCCCATTCCCTCTGGAATTTCCCCCCCACTCTAGGGCTTTTGGAGGAAGGCCTTAGAGGAAGTGGGTGAATCTGAGGAGTGGCTGGCTGCCCTCGAGGGGTCCTAGCTGTAGCAATCGTGCACACAGAAATAGATGCGAACCTCCATTTTGGCAAAGGCCTCTCCATCTTCTATCATTTTCTACTCCCAAATCAGCTTCCCTCATCCCCCCCTCCCTCTCTGTTGAGTGACACGTGGTCCCTGGATGCTGAGTTCAAAAAGGCAACAAGGCTCAGCAGTAGAGCTCCAGGGATATACAATCCCAACCTAGCTGATGCCCAGATGTCTGGTAGCTTCTCAATCTGGGATATCGTAAAGCCATAAACCAAGTCCTTCACTGAGCTCAAAGACATTCCAGATAAACAGTAAACCAGACATCACATTCAACATCCATTTTCCCCTATGATTTCATATCTTGGATTATGAAAGACTTACATAAAAACCAGGCATATATTTAGACTGGTCACTTTAATACAAGTCGTCTGCTATATTACACCCCACAGCTGACACAAACAGGAGAGCAGAAAATGATATCTCCTTAACCATCCCAGCAGTTATGTCATATTTCATATCTAGACGTTCAGCGTATTAATCTACCCGTGGAGAGAATGTCACATGTACTTAGGAAAAGTTATTGATCACAGTATAATTTGGGAGGGATTTGGTCAAAGCCTGAGCTCCCCGCCTACAACACCCCTCCCCAAATGAGGCGATTAGTTCTCTGCTTTAAGAAGACACCCTGCTGAGTTCCTAGAAAAAGGCTGTTATGTTTGGAGCTAAGCTAAGCTGAGTTGAGCTAAGTTGAAGAAATCTCCCTTTTAACATCAGGAACCAACTTTGGGAGATAAGGCGCCCTTCTGCTCTGAAACTTGATCTGCTTAAACCAGGACGTTTGGCAAGTACTTTACCTCCCTAAATTTCTTTCTGTTATCTCTTTGCTGTGTTATTGCTCTGTGTATATTTATATATATATATATTGGCTACATCTTTTTCTGTAAATATTTTTATTGCACCCTTTTGACCTTAGTAATAAATCTTACTTTCTGAAAGTGTTGAACTGTTTCTAAAGCTCTTTAATGCAAACTAAGAACCCCTGTCCCTGAAGAGCGCTACTGTGTGTTTTAAACGTCTGCATACATCTGTCTGTGGTGACATTGTGTATACAAACGATTATTCAAACATCATAGTATTATTGCTTATATTGCCAAGTTTCCTCTTTCTCTGTACAAAAAGGAGGTGGTGGCAGTGTGAAGGGTTAATTGCGTAATTAACCTGACCCAGTAACAATCGCCCCCAGGCTGCAAGTACACAGATTGTGATCCATTAGCTGGAAAATCTTTGTACAGGTTGCAGCTGGGCGTGGCATTGTTAAGCACGTGACAGCACGGTTTTAGATTGGCTAGTCCTTCAGTCACGAGTTTGGTGAAAAGGGCTGGGGTCTGATGCCGTGATTGTCACACTAGCCAATTCCCAACAAGAGGTTGGCAAGGGGTTGGACACCCTTAAAAAGTGTTAGAGCCTGCTCAGTAGGAGGAGTGTGGAGTGTGGGAAATAATTTGGGTGGAAGGAGAAAGGAGAAAGGAAGATGTGAGGCTGTGAGGAAGGAGGCTGCCAGGAGGCCTAGTGGGATGTGGCCTGCCTGCGAGCCTGGAGCTGGAAAGGCAGAAAGTTTGAAACTCACTGGCCCCCTGAGAGAGGACCACCTGTATGGTAGGGAAGGAGCAGCCCAGCTGATAGGCCTGGTAGCAGCAGCCAACCCACAAGCGGTACAGGAGAGGATCTGTGTGAGTACACTTACAACCCCTGGGTGGATAGAGGAAGGAGCACTCTGGTGGGAAACCAGATTAGCCCCCTACTAGTGACTGATTGCCTATTTAAAAGAACAGGAACCGGATCCCCATATTCAGGGATACCTCCAGATTGCTGGGTGAAGAGGATACTGTGGGAACTCGCTTCAAAGTGGTAGAGCTTTTCATTTAAAGCACACAGCGACTTGCTTCTTTAACCACTTGCCTACCAGGCACTTATACCCCTTCCTTACCAGGCCAATTTTCAGCTTTCAGCGCTGCCGCACTTTGATTGACAATTGCGCGGTCATGCAACATTGTACCCATATGAAATTTTGATAATTTTTTTCTCACAAATAGAGCTTTCTTTTGGTGGTATTTAATTGCCACTGGGCACTTTACTTTTTGCGCTATAAATAAAAAAAATGCAAAAAATTTGAAAAAAAAACTATTTCTTTGTTTCTATTATAAAAAATTTTTCAAACAGGTATTTTTTCTCCTTCACTAATGTGCGTTGATGAGGCAGCACTGATGGGTACTGATAGGCGGCACTGATGGGCACTGATAGGCAGCACTAAAGGGCACTGATAGGCAGTACTAATGAGGTGGCACGGATAGGCGGCACTGATAGACAGCACTAATGAAGTGTCACGGATAGGCGGCACTAATATGCAGCACTGATAGGCGGCACTGATAGGTGACACTGATGATGGGTACTGATAGACGGCACTGACTGGCATCACTGCTGGGCACTGACTGGCACAACCCCTGGGCACTGACTGGTGGCACTGACTGGCAGCACTGCTGGGCTGCACTGGTGGGTGGCACTGGTGGGCAGCACTGGTGGGTGGGCACAGGTGGGTGGGCACAGGTGGGTGGCACTGGTGGGCACAGGTGGGTGGGCACAGGTGGGTGGCACTGCTGGGCACAGGTAGGTGGCACTTCTGGGCACAGGTGTGTGACACTGCAGAGTGGCACAGGTGGGGGCACTGCTGGGCACAGGTGGGGGCACTGCTGGGCACAGGTGGGTGATCTGCTGGGCACAGATGGGCGGAGCTAGTGGGCGCACTGCTGGGCACAGGTGGGCGGAACTTGCGGGTGGCACTGCTGGGCACCGATCATCAGGGCACTGATCATCAGTGTCCTGATGATCGGTGCCGATCCCCGCTGTGACAACTGCCGGTTCTCGGCAGTACTTTCCTCACGATCTGACAGTGTGAGGAAAGTGCAGCCGAGAACCGGCACTTGCATTTCCCTGTGATCAGCGTGTCATTGGACACCGCTGATCATGTGGTAAAAGGCCGCTGGGATCGGCCTTTTACCACATCACGTGATCAGCTGTGTCCGTAGGACACAGCGATCATGGAGATCGCCGGGTGCGCGCACCCCCTGGGGCGCGCAGGGAGAGCGCGTTCTGGGGGGACGTCATATGATGTGAAGCCATCATTCGGCTATCTGCGTTCGGCAACTAGTTAAGGGCCTTTTTGCCCAACTTTATTTAAACAAATGTCCCATAACATAAAGCTTCCCACGCAGGGGTATCCACCATCAAACAAAAACAACGATTCAGCCTCCTGGCTTATACTCAGCTTGATGTCTGTCTCCTGCAGACTTCTTCAAGAATTATGGCTCTTGCAAACAGCTGGCCAGTAGCACACAGCTAGTCTCTAGCAGCCCTTTGCTGCTTTTGGCTTCCACCTCTCCTAGGTGGAGCCCTCCTGACTCCTATCTGCCGGGGTGGAACCCAGAACCCTGGTCCTGACTCTATGAAAAGGCCCGCACACACCTGTGCAATCAGTCTCCTGGCCATTCCCAAAACCTGGTCCCAGGATTGGAGATTTCATCCCTCCCAGATCTCTTTGAAATCTCCAGGCTCCAGATCCCAAAACAGACCTTACAAACAAAGGAGGAAAGTGAAAAGCCACTCTCCTCCGTATCAAACACTTACCCTGGAGCCCCTCAACCTGCCTTGTTAAGAATCCTGGGTGACAGATCGTCACACTGTCACAATACGTTCATCTAGGGTCTGGGGTGTACATCAAGGAGATGCTGGCTAGCTCTCCAACAGAGATTGTGTTGCAGAGAAAGCTTGTGAATAGTTTGAGGAAGTTTGTTCTCAGTTGTTGGTTCCCTTCGGCATCCTATCCCCCCCCCCCCCTTACCCTATCACAGTTCTAAATCCCCTTAATAAATCTTAAAAACAAAGCTCAAGGACTGATTTCTGACTCTGATGCAAGCTTGTGTGAAGAATGTAGATTGCCTGGTTGTGCAGGACTATAGGGGGACCCATATCCTTAGCAACCCCCAAGGGGGTAATGCTACCTCTGGATCTCTCTATCCCAATGTTCCTGCTGTGTTCTACTCTGTCCACCTTTAGGTGGTACTTGTAATCTCTGCAGGGAAAGGTGTCCAGCTTGCATACTGTATTCACGCCTAAGGATTGTACATGCACTTTGGGGTGTTCATTCATTTCTAATAAACATCCAACGTGCATACATCCACCAAGCAACATACAGTACCCCCAACTCACTGCAATACATAAACCAGTAGACACCAGTGCTGTGTCGTTGTTCACTGGAAAAATGGTTCATGTGATTTCTTAGCTGTGTGCATGCACTTTGAGGACCCACCAGGAATGGGTGGCATGTATGCTGCAACACTGCAACAAGATGTGAGAATCCCTAATCGATGGCACTTTAGGTATCTCCAACTTAGATATGCAGCAGAACCACAACTGGGGCTTAGAGATGAGCATCTCTGTAACTCCAAACTAGAATGTGCACTTCTCTCCCTGAATCATACACAGCTTATTTCTACATTTTGCTCCTTACTGAGAGATAGGCTCTCAACCCCACTCTCTAAATTGCAAGCTCGGTGGCTAGTTGATTTCTCTGAACTTTCCCCAGATAAATAGCAGGAAGTTTTTCATTCTTTCTTTGACACTGTTATATCCGCCAGGGACAAACTCATCCAACTGAGATATTTACATAGATTTTGCTATACCCCTAAGTGTCTTTTCCTAATGCACTCCTATGACACTCCTGTGTGCCATAAATGAAAGGCTTTCTCCACATAATTTGGTCATGTAATAAGGTCAGATCTTTTGGTCAGACATTACTGCATTCATTTCAGTTCATTTTGATCTTCTTAATGTATGTAATCCCTCTGGTATTTCTCCCTGCGCTACAGCTTTGGAGGAACGTCTAGAGGCAGTGAGTGGATCTAAGGAGTGGCTGGTCTGCACTCTTGAGGGTCCCTGACCAATCCCCAACAGCAGGCTTGGAAAGGGGTCAGAATAACACTTAAGGATAGGAGAGCCTGCTCAGAAGCAGGAGAAGGAGGTAGGAGATGGACGAATAAGGTTGAGGTACAGGATCCTGGGAAGGAACCCAGGCTGGAAAGGGCTCAGCTCCAAGAGTGATGCTGGAGAGGAGGAAAGCTGTGGACTTCACTGAAAGAGGCCCTGAGAGAGGGCCACCTGGCAGCAGGGAAGAAGCAGCCCAGATTAAGTGCCTTGTAGCAGCCACCAACCCAACAGCAGCACAGGAGAAGGACTCAGTGAGTACACCTACAACCCCGGGCCAGATAGGGGAGAGAGCATTTGGTTGGGAAGCCTAACTTGCTCTACAGGGGAGACTATTTCCCTTCTAGTAGCAACCACTGGATCCCTTGTCCAGGGATTCCTCCATACAGCCGGATTAAGGAGCATCTGGGGTTGGAGAGGTGCAGTGGGAGATGCTGGCTAGCTCTCCAGAAGATGATTTTTGTGCACAGGACTTGTAACCTATCCAAGTTTTTAAACCCCTAATAAAACTTTAAAACAAAGTTCAAGGACTGGTGTCTGTCTCCTGATACAAGTCTGAATGGAAATGCATGTTGCCTGGCTGTGCAGGACTATAGGGGGACCCAAATCTTCCCCCTAAGTGGGTAGTGCTACATATAAATAGTGTCATATTCCTTACCGTTTATGGCAGTTTCTTCTTTTCTCTGTTTTGTTCCTCTTATGTTCCCTTTTGTTTCTTGATCTGTGAAATTTTTATGTATACATGTACTGATATAGTGAACACTGTTTTTTTTTATATGCTTGTATTTCCTGATTTGTTTGCCAGTAACTGCTTGCGTATGCTTATCCAAGTACCTACAACTTTGTACAGACACCTGTACTTGCATTTCATGTTTATCTGTGTACTCATTTTTTCTACTAAAGTAAGTTAAAAAAAAATGTATGCCACAACACGCATCAAGGCATCAAGCAATATGGTTAGCTGCTCCTGGGAGAGTGCATGCATTTAGGTAAACAGATCCTGAAACAACCTAGTGCACTTAGTAATTGGGGCACCTCTACTCAGATAGTTTCTGTTCCTTAGTGCTTACAAAAATAGTATTCAAAATGCAATCCTTTCGATATTTACTGACAGACCAGTCATTACAGCCATTTCCAACTAAGGTAAGTCAGCACTTCATCCATTCATTGTTCCCTTGTGCAGTGTTTCTCAACCTTTTTTCTGCCAAGGCATCCTCTAAAATTATGGACAGTCCCGAGGCACCCTTTACAATTATGGACAGTCTTGAGGCACCCCATTCTAAAATGTAAAAAAAACTATTCTAATAGTTTTATATAATGCAGCAACATCCATACATGTAGGACACCCAACATTAGAGGTGATTTATTCTTCCAAAGCAAATAAACTTTTGCATGCTGGTACTGACTAGTATTCCAATGTTTCTCTTCTCCCTCAGTTTTTTCTCCATCACTGAGCTAATGTGACCCCAGCATTGACGGAGAGGGGCAGGGAAGGATGAAACATTGATGCTGTGCAGGCAACCGACATCCTCCTTATCAACTGATATTGTCATAGGTTGTTAGGACACTGGCGATTAGAAGCTCATAATGGTGCACAATGAGAACTTGTGGCTTTGTGTAACTAAAAGGCAAGCTTGTTCCACCTGCTGGCTTGTATACAAGGTTTGGGCAATTTTTAGACATTTGGCCAAGGCACCCTGGCTGAAAAAAGCTGCCCTAGTGTCTGCAGGAGCAGAAGGCAGCTGAGGTGGAAACCCTGATTCATATTCACACCCAGAAGGCACCACTTGGTACAAAAGTCGTACTGTATGTCTTTGGGTGAACCAGTGCTTTGCCCATGCAGAGCAAAGCAAGAGGTCAGCTTACCTGCCCATGCAGAGCAAAGCAAGAGGTCAGCTTACCTGCCCATGCAGAGCAAACAAGAGGTCAGCTTACCTGCCCATGCAGAGCAAAGCAAGAGGTCAGCTTACCTGCCCATGCAGAGCAAAGCAAGAGGTCAGCTTACATGCCCATGCAGAGCAAAGCAAGAGGTCAGCTTACATGCCCATGCAGAGCAAAGCAAGAGGTCAGCTTACCTGCCCATGCAGAGCAAACAAGAGGTCAGCTTACCTGCCCATGCAGAGCAAAGCAAGAGGTGAGCTTACATGCCCATGCAGAGCAAAGCAAGAGGTCAGCTTACCTGCCCATGCAGAGCAAACAAGAGGTCAGCTTGCCTGCCCATGCAGAGCAAACAAGAGGTCAGCTTACCTGCCCATGCAGAGCAAAGCAAGAGGTCAGCTTACCTGCCCATGCAGAGCAAACAAGAGGTCAGCTTACCTGCCCATGCAGAGCAAAGCAAGAGGTCAACTTGCCTGCCCATGCAGAGCAAACAAGAGGTCAGCTTACCTGCCCATGCAGAGCAAAGCAAGAGGTCAGCTTGCCTGCCCATGCAGAGCAAACAAGAGGTCAGCTTGCCTGCCCATGCAGAGCAAACAAGAGGTCAGCTTACCTGCCCATGCAGAGCAAAGCAAGAGGTCAGCTTACCTGCCCATGCAGAGCAAACAAGAGGTCAGCTTACCTGCCACCCTGCGGAGCAGCTTTTGTTCCACTTAGTTTTATGGCCATGCTGCTATATTTGAATATATGGAGCAAAGTGAAATACTTAATACTTCCAGGTATGAGAAGCAGGTGACACCCTTTTCTTCCTTGTAGGAACAGTAGTGCTGCTTGGTGATTGGCAGTTCTAGCAGCCAGCAATGTGACATAGGGGTGCGTAAAGGGTTCTCGGTCCTGTGTAGACTCCAAGTTAAGAATAATTAGAGAGCTTTTCCTCTTTAAGAATAATTAGAGAGCTTCTCCTTTTTTATCCGGGCAGCCAAACAAAGCAAAGGGAGGGTATGTGCAGCTGGGTAGGAAGGCAATTAGGTGAACCTGTTGCTTTGCCCTTTGAAGTACAGATATGCTTT